AATTTTTAAAAATTTTCTTAAGATTGAGAGTGGGTATGGGTGTGGTTCGATAAGGTGCTCAGTGGGAGTGGTTCTGACGGGGTGTGATCTTTAGAAAATGTTTTCAATTTTTGCAAAAATTTTAAAGATGAGGTCGCATGGGGATAATTAATTCCAATTAACACCTGAATTTTAAAATAATTTGATAAATTTGTTAATTTTGAAATGCGATTCTTATATGTAGAAATTATCTATTGTTCCCCAATCAAAATAAGGACAACATCGAAAAATCTGCTAAAAGTTTGTATCCTTTTGCAAATTGGGAGGAGGAAAAAGTGACATATGGGGTAAGGCTGTCAATGGATCAAATCTGCTCAAATTCGATCCGATCCATTAAGAATAATTATTCGATCCAATCCGATAATCCGACTGATATTTGAATGTTAAATTCAAATCCAATTAACTGTATTATCGGATATCTGATCCGATAATCCGATTCGAAATTGAAAAAATTAGAAAAATAAAAATTTTATTTATTTTTTCATTAAAAATCATAGACTCAACAAGATTTTAATCAATTATTTATTTTAAAAAATATTTGAACTATCTTGATGGGCTCACTTATTATATATTAGACGGCCCAAATCAATTTTTTCATCCAAATGATGCTCCTTTTAACTCTTTTTTAAAAGAGACTTCTCTTAGAATATTTTAATGATATTTCAATGTGAGATACTAGCTTTTTAAAGGATTCTCCTCTTCAAATGATTTTGAGATATTTCAATGTGAGTTACTAATCATAATCATTTGTCAATTCTAAGTGTTTACTAGTTTACTTTATTATTTTCATTAAAAATCATAGTCTCAATAAGGTTTTAATTATAAACAATATCAATTTGAACAAAGTAAATTATTTTGCACATATTAATTGTTAGTTTTTTATGTTATAAAACAAATTACTATCGTAAATCTAATCAATAAATTAATTATTAGTTTTATCTTATTTTAATTAATAAAGAAATTAGATCTCTTCAAAATTTTCAATTAAAAATATTATACTATTATATAATACTATTTATTATTTAAAAATTATGTGTAAAGTATAATACAATTTTCAAAATGGAAAAAATAGTGTCATAAATTATGTGATAATATAAAAAATATAAAATATTATTATAATAAATTGGATCGGATTGACCTATATTCATATTTGATTCATTCAGTTAACAGATTATCGGATTCGGATCTCGATTGAGTTATTGGATTAAAACCCTAAATCCATTTTCTATTAATTTCATCGGATTCAGATCAAATTCCAATCCATTGACAGTCCTACATATGGGTCATTGAATCTATTCAAGAGCCACAAAATAAAGCTTAGCTCGCAACTTGATTAGGCCATGGAAGACTTAGTTACAAGCGTTGTTGGTAGATCAACTGAAAATTAGATGGATCAACTAGAAGATAAATCAAGGGCCAACTCGATCAGCAAAGCGTGTCGATTTTTCATACAAATGAGCAACAACATAGAGAAGGAAATTTTATGGCGTTATATGACATGTTTGTGTCTGAATATGGGAACATGTGGAGCTCGTAAAGAGGCTGTTCCACCTTCTACACCGAAGGCGGCAATTACAAGAGATGTCGACTGAATATATTATCTTCCTACACAAGGAAATATGTTGAGGACACTTTTGGATACATTCATGGAGACTGATGAAGTTATGGATTTTCTAAATTTGGGCTACGATTTATACTATATCCTCCAAGTATCCAATCTGAACCTGACCACATGCCACAAAAACACTAAACTCAGCTATGATGACGAGAAGTATGATTAGAGCAAATGAAATGTATTTTTATTTTTTTTTAACTTATCATTATATTTCATATCTTTGGAAATTGTAAGTTTTATTTTTATTGTAATGTTTTTAATTTCATTATTAATAAAACATGACACATAGAGTGATTTAATTAAAAACAAAAAAATGTAAGCAATTATTTTAGGTTTATGCTTCAGAGTATTGGGTATTCCGTATTCAATAGCTCTATTCCAATTGTAATGTTCAAGGCAAAATACTCCGCTTGACATAAAAATATATGTTTTGACAAAATTGCAAGCGTACGTGATCGTTGACAAGTTATAATGTAATAAGCTGAGTTATCGTCCTACAATGTATAACTATTGATTCTAGAGTACTAGTTTCTACCAAATTCAATCTACATGACACAAAATAGTTGGTTGTTTTGTAATTATTCTAAACTAAACTAAGGATATTGTAAAAGATTGTGCTTATCAAATAATGAGATTAATGTTTTGAATTTCAGAATCCATCTGTTAATCTCTATTTCCAATATTGTAAGTTAGTGTTATTCAAGTGTTTGTGACAATCAATAATCCATTAAATATCTAATATTCTTTTCCAAAATATATTAAACCTATCCTTAGCACGACCGCTTCTATTTCTATTCCAAATTCATATGCAAAGCAATCATTCAATCACATGATTATTACACACAATTGCACACGTCTTAAATATTATTCCTAATGCATAATGCCTGCGTGTCAAATATGTAGTGTTCTACTTGTTGTAAGTCTCCCAACACTACGAATAAGCAGCACTCTATTTAATTGGTAACTAAGCAACCAAATAATGTGATTAAAAACAACAATTAATTACAAAACACAAGAATTAACTAAAATACTCAAATCTTGAATTAGAAATATTAATGAAGTGGTTTTCATCTTTTATCCAATACAAAAGAGAAGTTTAGCCTAATATAATTGTATATAAATTACACAAGAAGTTCAGAAAAGACATCATCCAATTCAAAGAATAAATGTAGAAACTTGAAAAATCAATTTCTTGCACTTTTCCTTCGATTTGCACCTTGAATCTTCAATTCCTTGAGTTAATTCTCTCTAAAGCTCATGTTAGGAGTCGGTTCAAAGATAGAATACTGATAATAGCTTCAAATTACGATGTGGACGGCTTTTTGTAGGTGAAAAATGGGTAAAATATCATACCATAAAGAGTTGAAGCAAGAAAAACAAAATATTTAACTGGAAATCTATTTGTGCACATGGTATATTTCATGTGTACACATGGTAGAACGATTTTAACTTCAGCCAGCTTATAATGGGATCTCGCATACGCATGGGTATGCATAGCTTTACATTTGTGCAAATTGGTCTCTGAATTTTTCGCAATGCTTTTTTGTATCATTTTCACTTGTGATTTCTTCCCTTTAGCTTCCAATTACCTCCAATTAATCTTGTAGCATCTTCACTCTTCATTTGATGTCCCATCGCAACTATTAAAATGTTGCAGTTGAGTCCCCACAGTTTTAATTTCGTCATTCTTCTCTATTTTTAGCTTTTTTTCTTTCAATTCTTCATTAAATCATGAGGTTTATATGATAAACACAATATAACACAAATTAGGCTCTATTTCATCAAAAGAACTACAAAATGTCATTATTTAAAATCTCGAATAGTTGTATAAAATACATTTATCAATATACAAAGTGTAATGGCTGTCATTTGTTCTCAATACATAGAAACATACATTTTGAGATTTAATTTAACTAAATAAGAATATGAATGGGGTCACCAATTAATCATGATAATTTTATATTATTCTCTAAAAATGTTAAATATTGATTAGATACATATTCCTAGTTCCTTTTTATTATTGTTCGTGTTTCTAACTGTGGCAGATATAACTATGTGACAAAGTACCTAATTAATTTTACTAGTGGGTTATAAAATCATACTATAAATGTAATGGGTACCTGATGGTTCGATTTGAGTTTGTTTAAGAACTGAATCTTTTAAACATGTAATCTGTTCGATTTTTACGTTTAAATCAAATGATACTAGACTAGAACTAAGCAGTTTTTGTTCAATTCCATTCATATGCACAATATCTCAAATAAAATAAGCATGTGGTTTATAATTGATTATCATTTTTATAAAAGGAATGGGTGGAAAGTGAAGCACCTCATGAATAAGTCCATTCCTACTATCATCCATTTGGCTCATAATTTTCTCTTGTACTAACCAATAAGAAAATGAAGGGCACGATGAAATGTTTGGGACTAATAATAGATAAAGGTAAAGGCCAAATATCTAATATGGTTGGATTCCACCAGTACAAAAGTAAAAATAAAAAAGAAATAGATCATTTTCGATTCTTTATTCAAAATTGAGAATTAAACCTGTCCAGGTTTTTATTTTAAGAATTAATACTTCTTGTACTTTTCACGTAATCAGGCTTCAATTTGATACCAAATGTAACAATGACATTGGCAACTCACCCTTAAAATGACTTGTAAGGAACGAATACCCAAAAAGTGTATAAAAATACAAGTCTTTTATGTGCAATGCAATATACAATTAGATCATTTCATTCCATCCCTATGAACCTTGACACCGCCCTTATTATTATTATTATTATTATTATTATTATTATTATTATTATTATTACCTAGGTGACTCCATGGAACCAATTTTATAATAGAAATAGCCCTCTCCAAATCGTCCTTTTGCAGCAAGAGTCTTCAAGACGGGATAGCTCTCTAATATAAAGAGTAATATCACTTTGAGTAGAATTCAACCTTAAAGCTGACTTATATACTCAAAATCTAAACTTCTGATTGATATAAAATATAATTGAACAATGCTATTGGTACATAACTTTTTGATATAAAAATCGTACAGACAGCACATGGCTTGATATCATTGGAAAATGGGTAAAATAAAATAATTAACAATAAAAAAAAGTAATTCAATCATGTTTTGTCACATCAGTCTCGATACAAGTTTTGTTAAAATTTTTGTGTACTTACGTCTTTATTCAATATAATTATATCGTTATCATCAGTAATGCCACCTACTATTTATTTACGCGTTTATAAAGTAAAAAAGTAGTATGCATCTACGTGGAAGTACTAACTTTTGCATAAATAAATACTTGATGACGGGGTACTTTTATTTTTTAATCAAAGACATGGTTCAACTCAAGAAAACACAGCTAGGATCCAGTAGAGCAGCCAAGAAACAAACCGTGTGGAATATTACTAGTGGCAATTCTGCATATACACAATACCTGTCATCTTTCTGTAATCTACTAATGCACTCATGCTTTTCGTTTCTCAATTTCAACTATAAATTCTTTCTCTATATTCACTCGATCTTTGCATTTTTCAAAATCAGAAACCAAGGTATCATTATCAAGCCCATTTTTGGGGGAAAAAAGGGCCTCAATTTTTACAAGAAAATCCAAGATTTGTTGACATGGAGGACCGCAAGGAGGTAAAAATCTCTCAAAACTCTTACGTGTATATGGGATTTAGTAAGTTGCTTAATTGGTATCGGCATTTAACTTAAGTGCCTGTTAAATGAGGTTTTGGTTAAAGTGACATGGATTATGTTGGGGCTCGATAGGCCGAATCTGATCGCCGTGGTTGAAAACGTATCCATGTCTATCAGATTCCTGGTGTTCTCATGGTTGCGTGCACAATATTCATAAATGATCACCATGTGATACGGGATTTAACTTGAATTCAGTTCTAGAAGAGGAATATTTATGTCAATTTGAATTTAACTAGTATTATTTTTCCATTTGAATTTTTTTTTAAAACTGAATTGATGAAGATTTTCTGAATTGTGATCAAAATCTTGAAAGCCTTTGGTCAATGGTAATCAAAATAATAACATTGTCAAGTGAGCAGCCATTAAGGAGTAAAGGGTAAATAGAGTTAGAAAATTGACTATTGTTAATGAGAACTAGTCGTTTTTATCAACTTTGGTTTATTTATTTACTTTTGAAGAAGGAAAGGAACTGAGCTCATTTATCATTCTCATTTCTCTCTATTTTATATTGTTCAAAATCTCGAGTGAAAGATTCAAAAAAAGTTATTTAATTATGTTAAATCATCTTGTCTAAAAGTTTATCGATTATAAATTTTCTTTTGTTGGTAGAGGAATGCACCATGGCTATCCGTCCCACAATTCGGGGACTGGGATCAAAAGGGTGCATTGCCCGACTACTCGATGGATTTCTCGAAAATCAGACAAATGAGAATGGAAAACAAGAAGGATTTGTCAAGAGCCAGTCTTGGAAATGAGGAAGAACTATTCCCTTCGAACACGAGAAATTCGAATGCTGCCCGCAATGATAATCTCGACGGTTATCACAATTATCATCCGAACAACTCTCCAACTGTATGTTCATGACATAATCTATCTTAAATACTATTATTATATTTTTTGTTCGGTAATATGAACTAAACAACACAATGAACATAATTTAATATTTTTTTATACCCAATTTGAATTATAATTAGTTTTGATTCTATATTACAGAGGAGGAGAAGCATCTTCAGCTACTTCAACTGTTGTGTGAAGGCCTGAAGCTAGATGGAGCAATTTGGTTTTTTACTTTTACTTAAAATCAATGTTTTACTTATGTAATCTGTAAACCTAGATCACTCTGTTTTAACAAGAAAATGGGTATTATTGATGCACATGTGAGTCTTACGTTAACAAATATTTTACTTAGAGCCGACCTAGTAATTGGTTGTTTTAATAATTTGGCATGTCCATCTCAAGTGGTGAAGAGTCAACATCGAGGTGCCAAATCTTACCATCTCTAGAAGAAAATCAGTCCAGTTTTATTCTTAGTGTAACTTCTATTCGTTGAGCAATGGCTGTCCGTTCCACTCGGTTCCGTAAAATCACTAAGACCAACTTTCATTCCTGCCCAACGAGTGAGTCTAAATGTTAAGTTACCTTGTGACTTTACACTCGAGGGCCAATGTCCATCCGGCCCGAAGAATCCTTCCAGGATTCGCAAACTTAAATCAAAGATGCAATGGTCGGTTGTGCACTAAGAATCAAAGATGCAGCACAATAAAGGCTAAACAATTTCGATTCAATTCAAAAACAGTCTGAAGTTTATTATAAAATAAAAAATCTAAACCTTAACTAACTAGTAACCAAATCAGCAATTTATAAAAGAATGTACCGACTTGGATAATATAGCTAAAACATTTGAATACACTCCTAGAACATCATCTCGCTATTGCACATCAAAAATATAAAAGGCGTGTTTGGTGCATGACACTAAACCCGCTCCTACGGCTACGAGTCTTACTCAACAAGGCAGTCGCCCATTACAAAATAGAAGGATAAATGACGAAAAACAAGCAGCGAACTACCTTGACAACAAAATTCCTTATAAACCAAGTCATCCCTCATTTCACTCGTCCCAGGCCAAAAATCCACAAGAAAAATGCACAAGAGGAAATGCTTTTACTGCTCAAAGTTTCATGCCATATGCACCAGGTAATAATGTGCTTATCGCAAGTTCTATAATTAAACTTTTTTTATGATTTGCACATCTTCATCTTCAAGTTCATGCTCCTGGAAATTAAAAATGGTCAATAAATGATTATCCAGCAGTAAACATGACATGCACCATATTGAATGGTAAAAAGTTGAATAGAATTTACCTTGTCTACCCTCTGGGGCTTGTGCTTCGTGCTCGAACCCAAACCAATGCACTACAATATTGAATAAATCGCAGGTCATTTGACAACAATCAAAATGATGAAAACTAAAATTAGTTGCAAGATAGGATATATCATAGAACATTTAGATATACTTGCAGTGGGCAAGAATTTAAGATATAATCATATAAAGATCTTAGAGTTGACCGCACCGAATTTGTCCTGAAGTTAACAGAAACTACAACATATATTTGGCTGAATTTAATAAAGTAAAAAATTTTATTTGGAATACTTTCTCTTGATCCATCTCTCTCTCTCGACTTTGCCAACAGAAAACGACCCATAATCATTTGTTTTTTCTATGCGCAGATTCATATGGCAAGATATTTTTATTTGTTTGTTCAACGAAGAATGTGTTTATTGTTTACTCGAAAGATAGTTTTTAGTTCTGCTCGTCCATTCTTCAGAAATATATAATAATCACACTGAAGTTCCAAATAAGTAGTCTCACTATAAAAACAATGCGAGGATTATGCCTCGAATCCCTTCACATGTGAAGCTTTGATACTACACCTCGAATCCTGTGCATTTTCGATTAGCTCGGGTGGGTTAAACCTATACTTAGAATAGCCTTCTATCCTTGTTATTGAGACACAATTGAACTACAAACAAAAACTTCGAAATAACAAATTTGGGAAGAGAGACTACTTAAATTGTTTGAGCATGTCCTTGTGTATCTGGTAGCAAAAGTCCTCAACTGTCGTTTTCTTTGACGACAATATTACGGGATCATTATAGTCTGGATTCACCCCCTTTGGTTTTGTGTATATGCAAGTTAAGTTGAGATATTCCCATATTTTCTCCAGCAGACCATCAAAATTCCATTCTAGATGAGCACTGAGGAAATTAATCACAAATTAAAAAAACTAACCATTAAATAAACAATCAGTGAACATGCAGCTACTATACTTCTCTTGACAATAAAAGGAAGGAAAAAATCAGCATACGAGTTAAGAGGATACAAGCAATATATGCCTGTTAATGGCTTGAAGTAACACAACTCACACTCCCACTGTACCAATCTTAAATAATGTCAATGCTATTGTGAACAAGGGAAAATATGTAGAATATTTGCAGTTCAAAAGGTTTTAATAATATACAGAATGAGGAAGCATGATACTTGTTGCTAAAAAGACTGAGCCATGAACATTTGCGGTTGCAGTCTAAGAGTATAGAAAGGGGAGGAATTTGATAAAGCAAGTTAAGCAACAAGATCACCCAATTCCACCCACACATCATGGCTGGAAATGCGGGACAATAATGTACACAATATGTTTTCAGAAACAATAGTGACAGGACCAGAAACCCGGAACTCTGCCACCTCTCAGTACATGAATAAAACTCAGATGTAAGCACCAAGTCCCAATAAAAACAAGGTCTAAAAGATTTCAAGGTACTCATTCTACCTAATTTTTGCAACAAATCATCGATATAAATTAGCACAAAGGTGAAAGGATAATTGAGACGCTAATATGACAAAGGCATGAAAGCAGACAACAGTTTTGTACTACAGTAGCAACTCAGCAATGGATTATTTACCGAATGCACTCTCAATCTAGTTGTTGCAATTTGGAAATTTCGCACTAAAATATCATACAGAAAGTGACAGAAAACAGGTTGGAGTAAAGCATTTCATGATTAAATTTTCTGTATTTCAGAGCCCCTATTTGATGAAGATTAAAATCAATTTTTTAGTAGATTTTAATAAAAGATGATGAAATATGTGATTAAAAAGTTGTGAGACCCATAAAATATGTGGTTGAAATGAATTATTAACTTTGACTCAGATGAAAATCCACCTTTTAATCGTTACCAAAGACAGGCTCAATTTTGAACTATCGTTTAACAGAACCAACACCCAAGTCATACACCTCTTCCTATCCATCCAGATGAGCATAATAAGCTTACAACTGCACAAAATTGGTACGCTGGCTTCAATAAGACATCGAACAAGGGTCCATTTTAGATGCAGGATTGGACTTCAATTAAAAGAAGCTTAGCGGGCAATTACAAATTCTTCCAACTAGAATTTTCATTTCAATTATAGTTGTGCTGAAAACTTGACCTGTTGCCGATTGAACACATGATAAAAAGTATAACAACAACTCTTTGCTTACTAGACATATTCATTTTCCCACAGTAGAGGTTTCAGATATAATTATTTTCCTATTAAAGCAGGAATGCATCATTTTATTATGACATTAGGTAGGAGCAAACAAAAGAAAGTTAAACTGCATAGAATTTAAAAAGTAATATAACTGCTTTCTCTGCACTGCCCCCGTCCTTTTCCCTTCTCTACTTAATAGCCCAAATCTCAAGGAAAAAATAAAGAACACACGAAAAAGATGTGTCAGACCAACAGAGCACATGACAAATGCAAAAGGAAGTATTAAGCTATTGACAGACATATTTAAGCAAAGTTCATCCAGTCAAAGATTTGCACATATAAACTCTCAACTGTTGTGCGAACGAAACCACAAACCATGCTGATTCATTTGCTAACTATGCATGCAAGCAAATAAAATGGTTCTGTAACAATTGACGGCTTTGATTCAAAAATATATCAGCATTGTTTATAGTACAAAAAGTAAACTTCTGTGACCAAATAAGCTGTTGATGTCCAAAAATGGAGGAAATGGAGTACCTTATTGGGCAATAGTGCGGAAGTTTGTCCAAAATCTCCAGCTCTTCAATTGTAATCTGATCGATCTTGTTGACAACATAGATGCAAGGAATATATACCCTGCTCCCTTCAATAACATCTATGATGTCGTCAGCAGTTGCATTGTACTTAAGATTAATATCAGCATTGTGTATTCTGTATTCGCTGCATATTGCCTTCACAGTTTCAAGGTCCAGATGCGTGTTGGTAACTGTTGATGTAAAATTGATCCCACCCTTATCTTTCCTGTGGAATGTCAGATTTGGTGGTTCCTTGTTTAACCTATTTTCAGGGAAGAAGGAATAAAAACAGTTAATTTTTGAGAGAGGTGAGTGACAGAATACCAATTGCTTTACAAATCTAAAAGGAGACATTGAGTAAACAAATCAACAAGGCATGTTACCTTATACCAAATCCCTCGAGCTCTTTCTCTATAAGATTTTTGTGAGTAATTGGCTTTATTGCATCCAGAACAATTAGGATAACGTTGCATGTCCGAGAAGTACTGATTACCTCAATTCAAATATCACATTCAAGTACCAAGCAAAAGAATAAGATTAAAAACATGTTAATAACCATATTATCTTTATCATCAAGCTGTAAAGAATACTTGCACCCTAAAATGATGTCAAGAATAAATGAATACAGAAATCTAAATGCAAGAGCCTGCTTGAAACGGGGTGGGCCCAAGGGAGTGGACTTAGGGTGGATTCCGGACTTGACTCTAATGATATAGGATAGATTGCATTGGTTCCATGAGTTATAGTTTTTGAGAAAAGTGGTGACAGTACCCTACGTGAGCTGGAGGTCCCGTTCTTTAAGTCGATTACCGAGCATTCCCATGGTGTGGGTGGACAATATAGGAGCATGTTTGAAATGGGGTGGGGCCAAGGGAGTGGGCTTGTGGTGAATTCCCAAGCTTGATTGGGGTGATATAGGGTGGATAGCATTTGCTGATTCTGGTGATATGGGTGAATTGCATTTGTGCTATGAGCTATATCTTTATGGCAAAGTAATAGAATAGAATACTAGAAACCTGACCATTTGTAAACAATAAATAATATATTGGTAGCAACAGCAGCATATCAGGAAATACAGATATCCGGAACTGATTGCTAAGAGGCAGGGATGCATTACAATATAATAGCAGCAGGTGAAGGAGAGTATATGTCAAAACAATTTAAGATCATAAGCAGCAAGACAAAAAGTCAACATTATTTGCCTGTTTGAGCCCCATTTTTGTGTACAAAATGCACTTTGAAATAGTATTTTAATGGAGAATGTGTGACTAAAAAA